AAGTGAAATACAATAACATAATTACATATTGAAATATACACATAAAGGTACAAAAGACGGTCTTATCGCTAGGGCAATCTTTTACAGACAACCTTTGGTTAAAGGAGAACAGATAGAAATGGGCAGGTGGCGCAAGAGTGAATTAATACATATAGTTCGTGCATAAAATACAAAAACATGTAATGTAATGAATAAAGTAGGACATCAAAATTTTTTATTATTACGCCAAGCTTATCCCTAGTATCAACTACAAAGAATAACGTTGTTATACGCTCATTCATAAACTAACGACGTGGTCATTGAAAAATTAGGTTAAATGCGAACGGTGCGAACAAGGTTAATGTTACGATCATTTCTTCGATCTAATGAGAAATATCGAGGAAGTTCTTTATAAAAACTTAATATTTCCCGTATAATACGTACCTCTGCATTACCTAAGTATGAAGAGCTGCCACCATTAATCATCGTGGATTATTAGACGCAACCATTTTTTTTATATACCTAACAGTTCTTATAAGAAGTTTTTGATTGTATCTGATAGTATCTTTCACTAATTATTACATTAAATTTTTGCTTGTCGTTCGTTACGTTTCCACACTTAAATAGTGTAGAAACATATTACTGGCCTTCAGATTTTACAAAGAATCAATTAAAAAATTTCCACCAACTTTCCGGCTATAATTGACAGATCACAAGGACAGAAGCGGTCACTGTAACTGCTTGTATATAAAGTAACTGTATAGCTACCGTACGACACGGACCGCCTGCCACCTCGTCGCTTCGTAACCACCAACGGGAAATGCCGGGCGACATCGCCGTCGACGACGATATCGACAAACTCTTCTGCTAGTCACCGCACTCAATTTCCTGGAGGAACCGCACTGTTTCGTGACCGCAACGTACAAAAAGTGATGACCGGCAAAAACTAACAACATTGTTTACGACTGACAGTTCACACACGAAAGTAAATCTTTTCCTTGAGATTGAGCAGCCAGAATTCACTCGAGACATTTCATTTTGCATTCTATCAACGTACCTCTTTCTATGTCATCTGTTGGAATTATTCACAGTGACGGTTGCTAAGTGAAATCGTTGCGACAATTTTTTATTCTCCTTAATGCAAGCTGTTTCGACTCTTGTTAAGGATTCTACTGTGACATCTATTATAATTCCGCATGAACGTGGAAGTATACAAAGACGGCTTTGTGCCTGCCATAAATATTTATGAGTGAATGTCCATTTTCTTCACACGTGGGCTGGTGGATACGCACGGTATTGTCGTCCTAATTGGACGTCTGTAGGCGCAAATTTGTTTTACTTTGACAGAAATGTCTTATTTATGTTATGTGTTAGAGAGCACTTTATTATTACTGTTCTTGATAGCATTTCAGCCTTTCAGAATTACCCAACGTATTTATTATAAAATTTATTATAGTAATATAGTGATTTACCTATCAATAGTGACCTTCTTGGCTTAAGGTTATATAACGATAAACTTATTAAAGATACGGATCCTACTTTCTCTTAACTTGTTTCTTGAGGCTACTAATAAGAAAGTAAAACCCCGCTATGCCAGCGCTCGCCTGTGTCCTGATGACATACAAATCGCTATGATAAATTATACGGGAATATTGATTTCTACTAACGTTTATTTAAGAATACGCTTAATTATAATTTATCGTAGTCGCTAATTTTTGTACAATTTAAAGCTACTTCATATTCGAATTACAGCAGTAAATTAATAATAGATTTTCCAGCCAATGAAGGTATTTATACTTATGTGATTTGTAAATCATACATTTTAATCAAAAAATGTGGTCATTTATGTACATAGATGACGCCCTTCGATGTTGACCCCGTTGGTATACTTGTAAAGCAGCATTTTCTCCATATGTAGTACAGGGGAACGGTAGTATGACTAAACAGTCGAGCACCATGTCTCGTCCACTCTGCCATCTGACCTTTGCAAGTTTTTGCTCGACATATTCCATGTAAATACGAGTACGGTATGTTTACTCCGACATTTATACAGCAATGTTTTTAAATTATGAATACCTAACATAGATTTTCTGTTTGTTTGTAACACTTTACTAGACAGTAACGTATTACGGTATAGGATACAGAATTTTTAAGAAAACAGATCGAGTACATTAGCGGATTTTCTCATAAAAATAATTTCTTCCAGTCAACCATTGAATATATAATTGATAAATGTTTTTTCATTGGCGGAATAGTTAAAGAAGAATAAGATAATGACGTTACAACACGAGAATTATATTGATACTGAATAGCAGTATTCTATGTGACTAACGTATCTAAAAATGTTCCATCATCATAATTATATTTCTGCCCTTATCTCAGTTATTTAGAGACGACGTAATATGTTTTTTATTCATATTACACAAGGATTTGATTTTCGATTTTACGACCGGCCGATTCCCAACGTCAATCCTCCTTGGGAATGTTCCTAAAAATGCTCCAAAAATAATACTGTAAAAGCAAAAGGTACATATTTAAATCGGCATATCAATTATTAATTTTAGATTATATCTATTGCAATCCTATGTTGGACACGAAGGCGATTAATGATTGTCAATAGAAAAATCAACGAACGGAACATGAACAAACTTGGATTACCGATCACGACGTCTTGTAACACGTTGGCCTACATTTGGGAGATCCCGCTTACACCGGCGACGACGTCACGTTTCCCATGTTTAGGATTGTTTATTGAAGTCATGATGTGACCTTAACATTGTATTTTACGATTGTCTCGTCACTGGTCCGAGCACTGACATTTCAATAGGGAAGGTGAGCGCGGGTCGCGGCGTGAGACGCAGCACGAGCGCCGCAGCACGTCCTACCGGCACAGCTAACATCCGCACCCATTCCACACCAATTCTACCCTGCCTGCTGTCAACTTCATATTACACTCATTTTTCTTACTCGACATTCGTCATAAAAACTGGCCCCATATATGTATATCACCCAGCCTATTTAGTCCACAAAAATAATTTATATTGAATAATTCCAATATATATACATAATTACGTTTATATCTGGCGCAGATTGAAAGGCTATGCAACGTGTTAAAGTACTACATCACCAAAGTCGTCAAAACATTCTTGTACTGCAATGTAATAATAATAAATTACTAATACGGTAGTGGAATGAAGATGGGAAAGCTAAACGCTTCATCTTTACGATAAAGTCAATTTCAATTTCCGCGTTGATACGTTCGCTATACTTTAAACTGAAATAGGATTAATTTTGTTTTAGCTAAGCCAAGACGATTGCATTCCTCGCTACCTCCGGAAGCTTATCGGCGTCAGTGTTGATTTAAATTTGCATCTCGTATATTCGAGTCGCTGCGTCGATTGTAGGTGCTCACGATTTAACGCTAGTATTAATGCATTATTCAGAGGAGTTTTCATTAAACAGTCGATATCGGTGCGCAAGATCGCGCTCTCGTTAAAATGTACGGATGGCATGACAAGTGCTCGTATTGAGCAGGCACTCACTAGGTACTCACTATTCTACCTATGTCAAGCACGCGATGAACCATTGAATTTCATAATGACACGACTAAAATATATAAGTCTCAATATTCCCAGCTGCATATTGTTGTGAATACTTATCTTTTAATGTCCACCTAACACTCTTTGCTTATTTGTTAAATATTATCCACAAGCATAAAACAACATTTACAGCAAAATGTTAAGTGTCGTATATAACATGCAACTGCAACGACTCTTTCAATAGGGAATGATAATCATAAAACATTAGGTAGCCATGGAGGGTGTTTTCTAAACGCACGGTTGTTTTATAGCTTGTTTTTGTTGTAATGTATGGCATGTACCGTTTAGTAGTATAAGCACTAACCTATCTATGCTGCGTAAATTGCTAACATGCGCTTAGAATGTACCTTACCCTTCGTAATGTCACGCAAACGTTTAACACAACAACGAGGCCAATTAAAATCCTAGTTTATAACTTAACCAGTTTGAAAGAAACTGGTACGGTACGCGAAGACAGGTTTGCTCACACATGATACTAAACAACACACTCGCGGATGTGGTATACTTATGTACTGTAGTAACCTGCGCACATCCTGTACATACATTATCCTCAATAATACGGCATTAATCAAATCAGTGCAAAGTATATGTAACCTTAAAACCTTGAATAGGTTTGCACATGCAATGTTGCTGCATTGCTGATCCATTGGTTATCAGGTTAATACCTATTAGTTGCATAAAGACTACAGAGCTTTTAGCTTTGCGGTTTTATTTCTAAATTTCCATATAAAACATCCCGATTCATACTGGTAAACCCGCAAAACATAAAATATCTTAGATACACACAAAAAGTAAATATAAACAACTTGCTAATAATATTTTAATTACTAAAAATCTGATACTCGAGATACATCATAGTGTTGCATGGTATAAGTCATAAGCTGATAAACGTTTTATTTTCGTTAACGTTCGTAATGTCGCTGTAGAATAAAAACTATGAGTCTGGACGTGAATAATATAATATTTGAGGATTATTTAAACAAAATTGCAGAGCAAATTTTATACACCTAATTAAATCATAACAACCAACGAACGAACTCGAACTCGTACTCGTTCAACTATACACTAGTCTTAAGTGTACGCTGCATATTATATTAATTTGTGTCTACAATATTATTAAAAGCAATATATGAACCAGATATAATTATTCATCAAATTTAATATTACAAACAACAATATTCTAAACACCCATCAGTAATAACCACGACCTCTTTACCAAGACTATATTTTTATGCTAGTACTGCATACTGATAGATGAAAGGCCGCTAAATTAGCATAAAATTTTATACACCTCATAAAATTCTGTATCGAACTGGTAACGGCCTGTTAATAAATCCCAAACTAATAGAGAAATACGGAGTCATTGACACGTAATTAACAGAAATAATAAGCGAGATAATAGTGCCGCTATGTAATAATTACCTTGTCGACGCCTCGACCCGACTGATGTCCGTACTAGTCTGGGACACCTGCAACAACATACGTGTTTCTATATTAATTGTCTGAACCATATAGTTATACTTCACTTATAAGAACATCATGTGGGTATTTCGAAGATAAATCATGTACAGTTTTACTAGAACATTTTGTGTGTCCTAAGACTCAGTAAAAGTTCAGTCATAAGACTGAATAAAAAAATCCATACTATTTTCAACTTTTCGTTTTATAAAAATAAAATTATATTGCAGTAGGATCTTTTCTCTCGTAGAAACCTAAAATAAACTTTGAATAAAAGTCCACTTTGCATTGGCTATAAGCAACTTCTGCAGGTCACGTCCACACTTTATTAGGTACAGGCTTTTCTATTAACTTACAAGATGCGACGTTTGTACGTGGTTTAATAAATATACTTTCCTTACTATTGTTATAATATTAGGTAATTGATTTCGGCGCTTTTCCAGTTTCAGATTAGGTCAAAATTTTACATTAATTATGTACTTTACCATGATTTTAAAATTAAATTGCAATTAAAATGTAGGTAATGTGAACAATGAAATGATTTATGTCGAGTTTGGATTTTATTTATTTTGTTATTATGAGCATTTTTAATATCCATGATAATAATATAATAATGAAACAGCGTGCTTTAACTGGCGGTAAGTTATTACCACCATGTTATTTATTTCGACGTCGTTTGCTGATATATTTAGAATTATTCATATTATATAGATATTTACAAATTTCCGTCAGATTAGCAAATTACTTATATGCCGTTTCCTTAATATTTCATCATGAGCCATTGCTCATTAAGCATTTTAATTTTTTTTTAAGAGTAAAGTTTCGTATTTATAGATTGCGCCTATAACAACCGTAATTACCCTGATGAAGAAAATGTTGCTTTATTAATGAACTACAAACATACAACTGAGTAACAAACAATTTCTTATCGCTGTTCAATATATACCGAAAATTGTTCTACCTTTCTCTAATTTTCCTTGTATTTTTTTTAGAATTTATGAAAAAATAAACCAACAAATATTTACATATTTTTCTAAAACGTTTAATAAATATAAAATTCACTTCGCCTTAAAGACAATCTTTACACGATCTAGACTTATCTCCGGATTTCGCATAATGACGTGCCTGTGAACCGACTGTCGTGTGATGTCGGACGCATTCATGTAAACAAAGCACAACACTGACCGGGTTAACCTTGAATGGTAAATGTGTGTGGAGTTTCGCTCAGGAAAAATATGCCATTGATGCAGGCAAGCAGCGTACGTGCCCCGGATAACGGTCACCTCAAGCCAAATAAGTGGTTTAGCATCGTACGCAGAATGATAATGTTTACGGCGATGCTTGTCACGCGATCGCGTCGCCCTATCGGCAGTGAACTGACGCCTCAAACCCACTTTCTAACGTTACGTCCTTGAACTATAAGCGCAATAGGAAACATTTCTCCAGTCTCGCGATCGTAAATAAATCTACTTTTACTACTACATTCTCAGTATTATTTCACTTTCTGTATCGAACCACGTAAACTTTGATAGCAAATTAAGATCAATGATGCGATAATAGTTACAATATTGCTACATTAAATGTAGCCAATTACAGTAGGATAGATGGCGGCGCTGGCGTCCGGCACGGAATAGTGCGCTTCTAACAAGATCTAGTTGCGGTTCGTCAGAGTCGAGGCGCGCGCCTCTTCGCGGAACACCTCAATCCGCTTTGTTTACGTTACTAGGATCGAACTCGCCCGCGGAGCCCGATCGCATCCCAAACGCAATAAACCTCTGAGCTAGCTCACGACTCCGCAATGTCTACTCTTTATCGCCCCCGCCGAATACTATGCAATCTTAAACGTATTTTAATAACTTCCACCCGCCAGTCGCCGTAATGGGCTCGCCATGCAAATGCTTGTGCCCACAAAGAACCGTTACCCACTGATACCGGCGGTAACGAACCGCCCTGTGAAATAAAGAAAGGTAATAATCGCGAACGGGAAATCCGATCGCGCCGTAGGCGTTTACCGGCAAACGGGTATGACGACGTCTCAGGGCCTCCGTTTTAAAGGACTAGTCCATGCACATATTACTACAGGTTGCTAATCATTCTATTCCATCCTGCTTAAGCAACATAAAAAACTTGAATAACGTTCCGAAGAAAGTGCCCTTACAAGTTACTGAGTACGATCCTATCTTAGATAGAGCGAAGTGAGGTGAGTCAAAGTCAAGTTGATAATGTGGATTTGAAGTTCCCTTTCGTGATATGGCAAAGCGCTTTCGCTGTCGCGACTCTGCGCTCTGACACCTGCACTCTTCCTTTCTACATCACAGTCAGAGAGAATTGCAAGTCATTGCTGATATGCAACAGATATGTATTAAATTTTTGTCATCACATAACATAGTTTTGCTATTTTCATTTATTTTCAACTATTGTTTATAGTTACGATTACAGCTAACGTCTTTGACCCAATCAGAATCGCCATAAAGTATTCCTTATACAAAGCTGGACGAGTTAATTATGATAATAAGTATATTATGTAATTTAATTAAAATTTTTGGTACCATAATAACAGTAATTAAGTGAAGGAGACAATAAACCGTTTTCGATACAAGTATATTTTCGATTGAAATGCCGCTTTATCATCTTTCGTGCCGGCTACTAATACAAAGTAAGATTAACAATTTTCTCACGTCCGCATCGAGATCGAGTTAGACGACGACAACCTCTGCAAAAAGTAAGTTGGAAATCTAATAGAGTTTGTGGCAAGCCGGTTATTTATGTTATTTTTTAGTTTCACTGATGCTCAGGAGAAATGCTATGTAACGCTCGCGAACGAAGATGAAGCAACCTGACATTACTATAATAACTCAGAGCCGCCCTTCTGTCATTACTCTGTACACTTTCCTCGGGTAACTAAAGGTGAAACTAAATTCTTTTTTTTTTTTATTTTCAAGGGCGTATTATTTACGATTGCATTTTATGTATTTCTCCCGCAACTGGTGGTTACCGTCAGTGGCTAACGAAGTTTTGATGACAGGCCTCGTTGTAATGAGTATATTTTTTATTTGTATTCATAATTATATAATTTCAATTTACATTACGTGAATCAAGTTATCCGCAAATTTTGTAAGACTAATTTAAAATATCTTTATATTAATATGAACAGGCAGACAGGGATAGCTATGTAAAAAAGTTTAATGAAAGTAGATAGTACCTGTTCTCTACTCGGGACGCGGATCGTGACCATTGCTTTGATAACAGGTTGAAGTCGCAGGATTATTCCACTATGATTGCACTCTACCTTTTCATTACCATAACTTACCAGCTCACTAGAACGCATTACTTGACCTTTAACATACATGCAAATACTACATTGTAGCCACTGCTTGATGAAGCTATAAATCTAAGATAAACGCTTAAGGCACGGATTTCGTTTCTAGCATATGATGGAAATCTTCGCATAATTTTCTTCTTGAATTGACGTTTTGTTTTTTAATAATACAGTAATTGAAATATTTTTCTTATCATCAAAAAGGGTGTTTTAAGGTTTCTTTAGGGCCGGCAACACACAAGTGACGCCCCTTGTGATCCATAGACTATAGTGACCGTTTATTAGTAAACGGATTATGTACTAGTTTGCCGCCTTTACGGTATAAAAAAAATCTATATGAATTATAAATAGCGTGTCATAAATTAGTTCTTACATCTATTTTACAGACAAAGAAAAATAACAAAAACGACTTCATGGTAATTCTCAGTCTTATATCTTAGTTCCCACTATAATCAATAGAAAAATCCCTCCCTAAGTGTTTTTCTTACGTTTGTCCTTCTAAGCGATGAAGTGAGGTGTTACATAATTGCAATAGAATGTGGCAGTTATAGCGTGCTAGTTGCCGACATGTCGGCAGTTCCTGTTCGCATGTGAACCGTATTTATTATAATTACGTCGCTCGGCCGCCGACTCCATCCTATCGATGAGACCGGAGCGTGCCAAGATGAGTCTCTCGATAGCTTCACTCCAGACTTCAATTATGTTCAAGTCCACATATACTGTTGTGTAACCACCGACATGATGAAAAATCTTTTTTATTAGTCATAAATAGGAATTGGCATTTTTTTTTCGAAAATGTATTTCGAAATCCTTCTTCGATACTGTAATAGTTTAATATATCGGACTATTTATGCGATGCATTAATTGGAGTTGCATTGTCAATAGTTTACCGATTAATGCAGGCGATCAGCCCCAATGTGAGTCCGTTTACGTTAGTGGCGCTATCGCGCGCGCAATCGTAACCTCTTCCCACATAATTGGTGTGTAGGCGCGGCGGCGGTGGCGCGTTATCCTGATCGCCGCCCACCAGCGACGAAGCGACGCCCGATTAGATAGCTCGGCCCCCGACACCCGGGCGACACCTCCTAACTTTGTCAATAGAGGTTACCAATAATAATCAACATCAGAAAAATCTATTCAGTAAAAAATTCTGATAGAACTATAAAGATACATACATCCACACAAAATCAATCGTATTTATTACTTCGCTACCGCAATCTCATTATTTGTGTGGTTATTTTTCTGAAAAATACAAATTGCGTTACTCAAGAAATACTGCTCTTTCATTAAATAAATTCCATATGTAGCTATTGTCCTAAATTTTTCTAGAAGCAATCTCTTACCTCATACAAACAAATTTCTCACAATCGTATGTAATAAATATCTAAATAAATAACAGTAACTAGTTAAATATACGTAATACGAAAACTATTTCTGTTATCTATTGTTTTCACAGTAGACCCAAAAACACTAAAAACATTTATGCACTGTGATTACCACTGCGTGATGTAGGCCGTCAACGCTACCAATTTTCTAATTTATATTATCTATTTTTATTACAACAGATAAGGAGCATGTAGATACGTAGATATTACAGCGTTTGAATAAAATAATTTCTTACGCTTGCTTATGTTTTATCCTATCTGAAATTATAATTAATATAAACGCTCGACCACAAATAATATAACGTTC